GTATAAGACATACGTATATATACTTATCAACCTAACCAACAAGGCCTCTGTGGTCGAGTTGGTCAGACGTTCACACAGTAAGCGAAAGGTCCCGGGTTGTAGTCCCGGTGGAGACAAAAGTTCTTTTTTCATTCTAATCAGATTTTCCTCTCCTGTTACGTTTAAATTATATATCATTATTTACATTATACGACACGTTGTTTTCTTGGTTCATCCCATTTGCCTATTGATTTATCTATTTAGTATCTCTTCCAAGAGATCCAACGTGTCGTTACTGATATACAGTTAAGGGCGCATCTTCAGATCTCTGATCTCTGATCTCTGTTCCCAAGTGTACCAATTAGTGCTATTGGTATTTACTAATTGGAACACGTTTAGAATGATAAAAGGCTCCTTGTGCTAACTTTCGTTTCGTCATCATAGACAGTGACTACAAATTAACTAAAGATAGGCGTTGTACGGGGTTACGATGGATCTTCCGAATTTAATCACACACTATAAGGGACTTAACAGATCTAGGCTTTGCTAGTGGTTATACGTTCACGAACAACTAATTACGCCCTGCATTGTCTTATTGTTATATTAGGCCTATATATCTTATATTATATATATGCTATTATAATTATATACATATATATATATATATATCATCATCAAAGAAAGTAAATAGTTAACAATGTTAACGGCTATCTTGATTTATATAATATATATATATATATATATATATAATAACAAAAATAAATAATAATAATAATATTTATTAATATTAATAATAATAACATACGACAGTAACATCAAAAGTACTATAATAATGATAATAGTAATAAAAATAATAATAGTAATAATAATAATAATATAAAATACAATTAATAATACTATTAATAATATTATGAAATATTAATAGTGATGATCATGATGATGCAAATGTTCTGTGGTCATATTTTGTGTTAAAATTGTTATTATTATTATCAGTTGTTATGCTTTTGTAATATTATTCTATACAAATACAATTTACACCACTCATAGGTACCGTAATCAAATACATAGCTTAATCGGCTAAAATAATAAAAGATTTACCTTTTCCTATTATTACACCATCAAATACTCTCAATGATTTATACAAATTAATAAATGCAACATAATAAACATAAAACCACAACCATTAAATGGTTGGTACTTATAATTTTCTTTTATTTTTTCAGGCTCTTAAAACGGTGACCATCGTGGCTGTTGTCTTTCTGTTCATGACGTCACCGAGTGCACTTTCTCGTTTTTGGATGACGGCAGATTTCAGCAAAAAATTTCGTTATTTCTGGCCCAGTATTGAATCGGAGCTCGTGTGGTACATAACTAATCTACTTAGAGTATCTAATAGCTGCATTAATCCATTCATTTATGCGCTCATGTCCAGTAATTTTCGATCGGCCATCAAATCAACATTCTGCTGTAAAACAGCTTTGACAAACAGGCAAAATTCTGCTTTGAACCCTAGAAGTCGAACTTTCTATCAGTAAACATCGAAAGGGGTTTTCGTGAGGAAAAAGTCCTGTTGTTAAAGGAACTGAACCCAGGACCCTGGGATTCTGAGAACGCAAGCATCTTATAAGCTATTCAACTCCACTCCAAGTTGTGTCTCAATAAAATTGACCCTAGCCTGCAAAAATATTATCATTAGCTTAGATACATAAGTACCATTTCGTGCTGCGTGTGGATGATTTTTAAGAAATAACGTGGTAATCTTAATTTAAGCGATTTTAGGGTAGCAGGTAATGGCTTCAGATTGCTATAATATTGAGCCAACACATAGGGTCTAGGTCTAGTCCAAAAGTTAAAAACATCCTATTTTTTAAGTAAATTCATGTCAAGCTTTGTCCACACTATTTGATTTGATAGCTATTTATTTGATTTCCCGTCGATTTACAATCAGGCGGTACTGGGGAGGGAAAACATATATGCATTGGCAAACTGGCTGTCGGCGAATTGGGTGTCGCCGAACCGTCCTGTCAGCGAAATGTCCTGTCGGCCGAAAAACGTGTCGGCGAAAGTCCTTTCGGCCAATTGCATGGCAGTGGAATGTCTGTCGGTGAACTACCGTAGCATTCGGCGAACCATCCCTTGAGCAAGATGTGTACTACTGTAAAGTTAAATCTAACCACAGATGTACGCAGATCTGATTTATCAAAAATCGATAGCGGATTTAGTTTCGCCACCCTTGACAGATTTTAATCATTCTGCAAATAATCAATTATTTCTGGCCCAGTATTGAATCGGAGCTCGTGTGGTACATAACTAATCTACTTAGAGTATCTAATAGCTGCATTAATCCATTCATTTATGCGCTCATGTCCAGTAATTTTCGATCGGCCATCAAATCAACATTCTGCTGTAAAACAGCTTTGACAAACAGGCAAAATTCTGCTTTGAACCCTAGAAGTCGAACTTTGCAAAACAGAGTTTAAAAACAAACAAGACCAATCTTTACTATAGGCTGCATTTACACCGGATCCGAACCCAATTCGGCCGCGTTCGATGTGCTGATCCGATTTTCTGGTCGGTTCGCTACAGTGGTCCCTATGGCCTATTAACGTTTCTTTGATTGCTGGTCCCTAATATTGTGGTCTAAAAGCACAATTCGGGACACACAAAGCCATAAAAACCACCTAAAAACTCTCTCCGTGAACCCTACCTAGGATTTTTTATTCCAGGACCGGGGCCGAAGCTCTAGTCGGCCCAACAATGGAATTTTGATTATAATACTGCTACAGTGTTATAGTGTAGTGTTATATTTATATTGTGTTTTGTAATTAATAATCCAGGCCGGTAGAAACGTATCATGTAGACCAATGCATATGACAAATAAAGTAAATTTAATCTGAATCTGACTATTACATTTTATATGACAAAAACATGCCATAATGTCATGATGTTACCATACAAGGCACATCATGACTATATGGGCATACAACAGTTTTTTGTCGAAAAAAAAATTGGTAGTGTGGACAGAGCTTCATACAGGTACCAAATGTCAATCAAACTTAAAAACTGACAATTCAAATCAGAGCAGGGCCAGGAATACGCGCGTCGCTAACCAGCACACGTGTTGTCCCACAAACGCAAGTGCGTATATTTTAACAGAACAGTATCCAAAGAGGCGGTCCTTAGCAGAAAGGTCCCTACCTTTTTTGCTAACAATCATTCCTTGAATATTGTTGCTATGGTCCCACAAAAACGACGGCGTAAACGTACGTAGAAGTGTGCGTTTGTGGGCATGCGCATAACATTCCTGACTAATGCGTCCTGATTGGTCAGTTGTTATGTTTGATTGACAACCCAGAAATGTCCATAATAGTCCTGCTGCCTGTGTTAACCTAAACGAACTTCACAATAAAATTAAATATTTTTTTACAAATATTGAATTTCAACCGCTTTTGTACTTTCTCCTTTTTATGCCCTATTGCCCAAACTTAACAACTGACTAATCAGCACAGGGCCAGCAATACGCATGTGTCTAACAAGCGCACGTGTTGCCCCAGAAACGCACGTGTTTGCGTATGTTTTAACACTGTCGTTTTAAGGGAGCTTACCAACAATTTTCAAGTGGTGGGAGTTAGCAAAAAGGCCCATTGACATCCGTGTAATTAATCAAAGCACATTTTTGAAGCTAACAATATACTTATATTTATCAGCCATTTTTAGATATATAGATTATATAGTTGAATTTCAATTTTACTTTTAATTTTTGTAAACGTTTTTCTGCTATCTTTAATATTCGATAATTATATATGTGGTTTAATTGCTTGTTTATTCTTCAATTATAAATGTTGCTTTTCCTATAAGCCGGTAGTTTGTAAAGTGAATGCAATTTTAAGTGTTTTCTCGTGGCCATGATGAAAATCAGCATGTATTTGTTTGATTGCTTCGTGAATAATTCTGTTTTAGCATAGACTCATTTGGCTGGTGATCAATCTAACTGGAACTTGGGTCGGTTAACTAAATGACGCTTTACAAATTGTAATGTTCTATAATAATAAAAAGTACTAAAAAGTGCAAGTGTTGTTTCAGATGGTTTTCTCATTGGAAGTAGATAGCTTAGTTGATTTGTTTTTAAAATTAGTGAGTAATTCAATGGTTTTATTTATTCATTCATTTGTTCGTTTGGAGCATGTCTACGTGTGTGTAGAAATCCAGCAAAGAATAGAATAATAACTGTCCAATTTCTATGCTTTAACCAAGGAGGTATTCTTTA